ATATTCTGCCTCAGGCTTTAGATCGAGCCAAACCGGATTGGAAGAAAGTGAAGAGAGCTGTACAAACTAGATCCTTTAAACGATTGGTATGCAATGAGAGCATTGTTGCACTTGTAATGCCCAACTCTTATTATCTTCTCGTGCATCTTTCAAACACTTTTATTTTTTTTCATCTATTCTCTTACAGAGCATCAATGATGGACGGGCAACTTCAAATTCCAGAAATTGAGATTGACGGATCCGAGTGAAAAGCGACTCTTAGCTTCTGGGAAATCAGAACCAGTCGTATGAGAACCAGTTATCTGTGAAATTGCAGTTAGCGAAGCATTCGCGTGCTTGTTATGTTGTGTAAGAACTTTTGTAATCTTCCAGCAAGAAATTATTATTTAGTGTTGGAATGGGAATGTAATTATTGGGTTAGTTGCAACTGCCTCGAATATTGTTTTTGCTACATTATGATGTGCTCATGAACTCGTCAGTGGTAAAATTTAATTCTTTATTTACTAAGTAAAATTATTATATATAAAAAAAAAATTCGAAGACAGATGATTTTATTTGTGTGAAAATGGAGCAGAGTGAACGTTCACTACTCAAGTGTAGTATCGAGCAAGCCGATTGAGCCAAGGAAGATTTTGAAAGTTTATTCGTTGGATCACACAATGGGGCTTCACAGTGTCCATGTATGAGTCGAATAATCCACTACCACCACCATGCTCGGAACCAAGCTAATGTCGCCGCCATCTTTCGCATAGAACAAGTACTTTTAAATTTATTATAGCAAATAAAAAATTAAAGGGACATCAATTCTCAAAAGGTAATATAACATGAATGAAAATCTCGGATCTGAACTATGCCCATATAAGAATGTCTTCAAAAAGTTTACCCACAATTACGGTCAACCTGTCCACCAATTGCCACACAACTTTATACTTAAACCCTGTCTGTCTATTATCGAATTAAAATCAGATTTTAATGTAATTTAAAGTTAAACAATCAATATTAACCACATATTTAATGAGTCACAGCTTTTCAACCAAACATTTCAAAAGCTTCTATTACAATATACTAAAAATCTAATTTTAATATCACCAAACACTCACTTATTATTACCATGGTCGTCTAATTTGATTTTATTTCACCATAGCCACCAACATTTATATTTAGTGTTACAACGATCACTCAATTTGATTTCGTTTTATCATGGACACCAAACTTTATATTTAGTATCATCATGACCACACAATTTGATTTTATTTCACCATGATCACCAAATTTCATATAACATTTTATTATGGCCACAAAACTTCTTTTCACCATTTTTCACTAATTTTAAAAGAGGTAAAATGATAACTTTGCATTATATATATATATATATAATATTTTTTTTAAAAAATAAGTTTTTATTTTATAAGTAATGTTTTGTTTAAATGACTTTTTAATTTATTTTTCTAACTTTTTTTTTTAAAAATAAGGTTTTATTTTATTTTAATTTTTTTTAAAAAATAAGTTTTTATTTTATTTTTTTAAGTAACATTTTTTTAAAATAAATTTTTATTTTACTTTATTATTTTAAAATAAGTTTTTATTTTATTATTTTTTAAAAAATATTTTATATAATATAATGCAAAATTTTACCCCCTTTAAAATTAGTGAAAATGGTGAAAAGGAGTTCGGTGACTATGATGAAACGTCATATGGAATTGGATGATTATGGTGACACTAAGCATAAAGTTGAGTGGTCATGATAACAATAAGTATAAAGTTGGGTGACCAGTTGTGGATTTCACCCAAAAGTTTACCATATAATTAC